CGGGGCGATTCTGTTTTTTACGGGGGTTTGGGGTTTTGTGGGGGTTTTTTTTTTTTGTTTTTTTTTTTTTGCTCTTAAGGGTATAAAAGTCTGCTGGCTCTTAGCACGCACAGAGTATTCGTTTAAACTCCTGCGTGAAGTTCAGTCGCATCGATGCGAGCAAAAATTGCTTTGAGCGCTTGGTAGTTAAAAGCACGCTCTCTTGAGGAAACCCTAAACGTAGGGGAAATGAGCAAAATCCAGGTTTCTTTCACATCGCGAGACCGGAGTGTGTAAAGGGCTCTCAAGAAACAAGTGCCTAGAGGATTCTTTTTATGACAGTCGTCGATTTTAAAGAAAAATTTGAACACTTAGAGAGTTGTGTAAATACTTAAAACGGGCATATCGGTGAAGCTATCCAGTAGTGGAGGAGTCCTGGAATTGCTCTGAAACCAGTTCTGGAAAAATGGGAAACAGTTGTACCCGCCGGTTCTGGAGGCCTCCGGGCGCTGTGCTGCAGAGGCCCTGTTTCGAAGAGCTGTTCCCCCTTGCACACCTACTGCCTCAACCGCTGCTGCAGAATTTGGCAGAAGGCTTGGGAACCCCTCTTCAGGGAAGCGAGTGTAGATACTGGTGCTTTTATTGGGCCTTTTATTTAGGTTTGTTTTAAATACTGCTTTTTTTTTAATTGTCTGTTACCTTATGACCCAATCTTAAGTGTCTGCCAAGCTCCTTAATTGGTTTTGTGTCTGCAGCTTTACAAACTTGACTCCGAGTCTGCCCAGTTTGCATTCTTCTTGCAGATTTTAATGTTAAATGTCGTCTGGTCCTCGGTGCTGTAAGCTTCAGTGTCTCTGGCTTTCGTAAACGCGTATAAAATCGCAGGCCACAAACTCTACCTCTAGGGAAGGCTTTTTTCCTGTTTCCCTCAGTAGTGGAAAGGCTCGGTGATGTGAGTCAAGCAAGGAAGCGGCAGCAGCTAGTTAAGACATCCGAATGGCTTCCCCAGTCATTAATTTGGCAGCTGTTTAATCCCTGAGGTTGCCATTTTTAATGAGAAACCCAGCGTGATCTCGTGTTATCAAGAGATTAGAGCCGCAGCATGGGAACCGAACTGGAGGACATTTCCTCAACTCTGGAATCTCTCTGGCTTGCTGCAAGGGAAACTTTGCGGGAGCTCCTGCCCTTGCTTGTCTTTGCTTCAGCCGGGTCCGCTTGCAGCTAAAATTAGCTTTGGAACTAAAATTTAGCTTTGGTATAGGTGCACGTTAACTTCCAGTATTTTCTGTGGTTTTTTAACGTTAAAAGTGCATTTCTGTTCTGAAACGCTAGCTTGAATTCGGAGTATCTGTCAGTTGTTTCTCACAGTTGTCAAAGTAATAAATGGATGTGCAGGCCACTGACTTGGTCCTCTTACCATAATTGGAGCTGGCTTCTATTTAGTGCTCTCCTCAGCTTAGCAGTGGCGTTTTCTTCATCTGTGCTTGTCTGATTCCTTTTTTTTTTTTTTTAAATTTTGGGTGTTAAAGGTGGTGTTGAGGGGAGAAGCGTTTAGCGCAAAGATAAGCTAAAGGGTTGTTAGGCCTTCGGGATGGGGGTTGCTCTCGTACCATTTCAAGTTTTCTTTGAGAAAGTGATGGCGGTTACTCTGACTCCGTCCAGGCGGCAGCAGGCTTGCTGGAAACCACCGTCAGGAATCACATGGCAGGCACTGGGCTTCAAAATGGACCAGGAGATTTCTTTTTTTTTTAACTAACCATGGATATGCCTTGAGCTGTATCTGTGTAACTGAGGCATTCGTTGATCTAAAGCTCCTGTGTCCTCTCAAATGGAAATTGCATTTTCAAACAGCCTTTGCAAACAAGCATCTGGTATGGTTGTCCAACATCAAACTTGCACCAGCGCGTAGAGCATCCACGCTTGCAGAGCATAGATGGTGAAGCACTTCCTACCACCGGTTTTCAGTTGAGGGTGAAGGAATGGGCTAAGCTTTTTCTTTTTTTTTTAACTGAAAACCTGTTACCGGGCTCTTCTGAAGGTTTTCAGCTCTTGGAGCCTCTGGTAAGAGATCTTAGATTGCAGAGAAGAAAGTATTCAGGCTCAGGCTTTGCAAGGGCTTCTGGATGCTGCATCGTGGGGCCTCGGAGCTACGCTGCCTCGTGATGATCAGGCTGGCTCGGCTTTGTTTGCCTTTTGACTACCTTTTTGCAGGAGCCTTTGAGGCTTGTAGGCATCAGTTCCATGAGGAAACAAGGTGACTTATTTTTACTGGTGCTGTCTGGCAGAAGAGCCATAGCTCGGATTGAGTTTTTGAAAAAGTCTTCATTGTTATCCTCGTGTTTTAAAGCCGGTGGTGAGGAACACTTGGCTTTATCTTAAAAAAAAAAAAAAAAAAAAAATCTTTATTCTGTTAAAAAAAAAAAAAAAAAAAAAAAAAAAAAA